TGGGTCATAACCTTTATTAACTCACACATTATTGTATGCGCCAGCGCACAAGATCACCGAATTGTTCACATGTGGTATTTTATGTCAGCTGCGAAATATGTAAATATAGAATATTTATTGATTATTGCTAGATTTTCCCAGCGCCTCAACCGAACTCAAAAATATGTACAAAGTATTTTGTACACCCCCATACAACGGTACCTCCCGATATTTGGTATTTTCATGATTTTAGCCACATTTTTCAATGGAATTAACTGAAAATCCACACAGGGAGTTCCTTGTGAGTACTTTATTACTTAAAAGACAATTATCTATATAGTTCCACGATATCACAGCCCCCAAATTTGGTATAAAAGTTTATATTATATACAGACTGATTAAAAATGGACTATATTGGTCCAAGTTTAGGTATAGCCCCCATAATACAAAATTATATGGGTTTCGCTATTTTAGTTATTATTTATTTTGAATAAAACAGACTGATGTCGTTGTTGTAGCAGTAGTAAATGCATGTGTTTGTTTCTGCTAATCTGATTCAAGCTCCAGGTTTAAAAATTCGGCTACTTTAATAAGATGTAGGCAGAAATCTTCTGGAGTGAGTTGGGTATGTTTGGCTGTGCAATTAAAGAGGTGCAGACGTCACGCAAATCTTCGTCAATTTGCGCCCAATACGAATTGAGACGACTACACCATCCTGAACGTAATTACTACTACCTTGGTTTGTCTAGGCAGCTAGCGTTCATCAGCTGCAATGGATGGGGGGTGGACTCCGAGGACGGCATTCATTCTATAACTGCTAATAACATCCGCGACTGCGTCGGTATGAATGCCACTCAGACCTGCCTGATAGGCTTCTTGATCTGCAGGTTCTCTCTTATAGCGTTGGACCTCTCTCTTTCTAAATCGTGTATGTCTTTCCACACGCCTGGGTGGGGGAGTTGTATCCACCATATGATGGTTGGGATGACTCTCACGCAGACCACACTGGAGCCACTTAGATGACCATAGACCGACCTATGGCGTTATAAAAAGGTTTTCTTGTCCGCGTCCCAAGTGCTGCCTGCTAGCGCCTTGAGGACCTTGTTCCTAATTTTCATCTTGTCGCAGATAGCTGTGGATTGCGCGGACGACTTGAACATGCGCAGACCAAAATTTCACTACAGTGCTGATGGTTGGCAACTGGATAGCTTCCTCTAATGCCCGGGAGGAGTAAAGCATCAAGAGTCTTTGCTACTGGCGACAAAAGTGAAATCGGCATGTACGATTCGCTTTTACTGAAATCTTTGCCTGAAATTAGGCTCCGGACACTATTTGTATGGCTAGCGACAGGTTGATAACTTTCGTTAGGTACTCGAATCACGGCGTATCCAGCTTTACCATTGAGATTCAGCATTACCATTGAGATTCATTCTGCGCCCAACGCGTGGTGGTTCCTCCTCGGCGGGAAGATATCTGATACGATATAGTGCCCTCGTTTCGCCCTGTCGCTCTCGGGGTGCTCGACCAATTGTCGTTTGAAATACTCAGCGCACCTCTTCGGATTAGTCACCGTTACGTCGTTAAAAGTGACTGAGGTCCCATCCTTTTTTCCAGGGTTCGAGCGCGACTTAACCGTTACCCTCAGCTTACTCATATCGGTTCCAATATTCCAACACTTGAGATGGTCTAGCCACTTTTTCCTCCTATGCTCCTATACCAACCGGTTGACTTCCACTGATTCTAGGATCAGTAGGGTTGGTATGACGGAGATCATCACGCTCATTTGCTAATTCCGCTGCCTCTGCTGTGGTAGTTTGGTCTTATCTCGGGTATTCGACCAGCAGTTATATAGCTAGTGGCTGCAGCTTTGATGATGTTTCGGAAACCCTTTCTGCTACCAGAACATCAGAAGGGTTGGGCAGTTCTCTGAAGCGGCGGTTGGTGAATTCTCTGAACTCTAGCCATTGAGCTTTCCCATGGTTAAGGAAAGTGCGGCCTAGTCACGTCATTTATCAGACCAGGTGACACTATGGTTAAGTCTGGCGAACTGTGACATTACCAACAATGTGCTAATATCTGCCAAGTAACGCGGCTCACCGCTATTAATCGGCGGGACATACACATTAAGCACCTCTACCACGGCAGTTCCACACTTGACTGCTACCCACATACATTACATGTATGGGTCTCTAGAGACTCAAGCGAGAATGGTGTAACATGAAAGCTAATCCCCCACCTCCACTTCAGGGTTGGGCATATTGCACTAAATTTTTAGTGCACTAAGAATTAAATAATTAGTGGTAGTGCAATTTTTAATTCCACTAAATTTAGTGGTAGTGCTATTAAAATTTCAGTGGTAGTGCAATTTTTTTTTTAAATATCACTACCACTAAATTTTAGTGGTAGTGAAATTTTAATAGCACTACCACTAAATTTAGTGATTTTTCAAAAAAAAAATTGCACTACCACTAAATTTTAGCGAAACCAAAAAAAAGCACTATGTATATAAGTATTATACCAGATATAATGAAGTTTATTGAAGTGAGTAGGGAACAACAATCCAGAATATATAGTACATATTTATAAAATTTGATTACTTTTCTATATAGCACTAATTTAGCGCTATTTTTTATGAAATACCACTAATTTAGTGCAAGTTTTTTTAAATACCACTAAATATAGTGGTAGTGCTATTGAAATTTCACTACCACTAAAATTTAAATTTAATTAATTTAAAGGGTTAGTGGTAGTGCAATTTATTTTTCACTACCACTAAAGGGTTAGTGCACTACCACTAAATGAACAGTGATAGTGAAATTATTATTATAGTGCTCCACTTCTGGTGTGATCCTTTCTTAGTACCTTGTAACCATAACAACGTTGTAGGCTGCAATTTTCATTCACCTTGGTTTCAGCAACATGTGGCGTTAGATGCTGCGGTGTTGGTTGCTGTTCTGAAGACTGCGGTGGAGTTCCATACTCCGACGACGACACTGATGAGGACGACGAACTAGTGGACTCACTGGGGACTACGCTACTGCAGCACGTCGCAACATAATCCCTTTCCCTGTAGTCTCACAGAATCAATGTCCGGGGTTTTCTTTAATCCCGTCACGGACCAATAAAATCCGGAGCAAGCATCCCGGGATATGCTGCTCCCAATGGAGAAAAATAAACAAACATAAACATGTTGGCCGAAACTGGGATGTTGTAGTTTCGGGTTAATTCGGTATCGTGGAACCCGCTGCCGTGAGATTGAAAACAGATTGATATTCTAAGTTAACGTATTCTACTCCTTTGATCATTTATTTCACTTTGGTAATTTTTTCCAATAATAGGAGGCAAAAGTTGATATACTTTACAAAACGTCAACGCCGACGGTACGATAACTTTTTTCGAGGTAAAGAAAATATGAAACTGCTTTATCCATGTTTTTAAACTTTGTATATGAATATGTATAATTTGATTTCCACATTCCTTGTTGATGTGGTGTCTGTTGAAATTGCAATTTTCGAATTTCGAAAAATTTAAAGTTGTGCTGAGTTGTACTCCGTTTGTGCCCATTTGTGCCGTTAAAATTTTTTCGATATCTCTTACTAATTTCGAAAAAGACGACATGTTCAAAAGTATGCCAGAATTGCAATTTTCGAATTTCGAACAATTAAGAGTTGTGTTGGGTTGTGCTTTATTTGTGCCGTTTATTTTCTTCAATATCTTTAACCGTTTTCAGCATATGACAATTTAGAAAAAAAAAACAGTATTTTTCAGAAAAATTGCTGTAATTTTTGTAAAAATTCAAATATCGAGATGCGGTAAATTGTGCTGTGCTGTGCTCACTTAGCACAATTTTTTGTCTACACATAACGAATTACCACCTTTTCTCGTTACTCGCTAAAAATTAAAAAATTTATAACTTTTGTAATATGTGAATTTTTTGAAATCTGCAAGTTGTTATGCAATTTTTGTAAGCAATTATCTGAAAATTAATGCTTATTATCTGAAAATTAATGGAATCATTGTTTTGAGACCGATGTGAAATGCCCCGTAGACGGTCAAAATGGGGGGGGGGGGGTTATATGATATGATATGACAATTATTTTTCAGAGGGTAAAGTACTTACAAGAAACACCTTGTGCAGACAATTCCATTAAAAAATGGGGCTAAAATCAGCAAAATACCGAATATTGGGAGTACCGTTATATAAGGGCTATACGTTATCGTAGACCAATATAGCCCATCTTCGAACTTGACCTGCCTGAAGACAGATCTGCGCAAAATTTTTGCTTTTTTCGTTTTGACTCTAGCGTGAATACAACAGACGGACGTACGGACAGGGCTAAATCGTTTTAGAATTTTACGCTAATTGAATATATATACTTTGTTGGGGCTACAATTATTATGTCGATGAGTTATAATCGGAATGACGAACTTAACGTACCCTCCATACTATGTATGATGGAGGGTATAACATTTTGTTTACACTTTGCTGGCTATTTATTTATCTCTTGTTCAGTGACTTAAATCACAATTATTCATTTTAACATTATATTTCGTAGTAAGCTTGCTTGAAAGCAGGACCCTATACTTGGGCCATGGTAGGGATGTTTTTTTTTACAGAACTCGTAAGTTCTTAGTGGAAAATGTTCTGAGCAACCATTATTTTCAAATATTTGGTTATCGTACGCTTCAATTAGCTTAAAGCTTTTATTAAATGGATATTAATTGTGACCTATTTATAATTATACAAATAAAAATAATGAAGTAGGAAATTTCGTGGGAGACAACCGTCGTGTCTATGTTTTATAAAATTTTGTTTGCGGAAATCTACCTTTATACATAAAATCTCTACCCTGCTTTATCCTATTTATTGACCACCCACAATCAATTTAATATTTTGCATTCTCAAATTTATCGTAAATGGTCAATATCAGGCTTAATGCCAATTACGGTTTGTATGTAAACGTACATTAAGCCTCCGGTTACCAGATACAAAGAATATAACGCCGACGAATGTCGATACAAGCGACTTAGATCTGAAGAAATTTTATTTCACTTTGTGAAAGATATACAAAATTTAAGTAATTAAATCTTTGTTATTTCGTGCTCTCTTTGCGGACGGTTATTTATGTCAGCTGAAAATAATCCATAATTATTCATTAACTCTCAGAAAAAATAGATTTTTGCATCAAGAGAAGAGGAGCGTCTGTATCTGGTATCTCGTTGTTTGATTACAAAGACTGAAGGCAAAATATGGGTACTCTATCAGATTTTGGACAAATTGCATTAAAGTGGGATCCAAAAAATTTGGAAATTCGAACAATGTCTGTCGAAAAGACATTAGAACCACTAGTTTTGCAAGTTACAACGTTGGTTAATACAAAAGGTCCAAGCAAAAAAAAGAAAGGTAAGTCATAAATTCGGTTATTGTTACTAAAAAATACACACCAGAAAATAGTGTAAAAGTAATTATGAACTGAACTACAACGAACTAATAGTTATTTGTTTTTTTTCTGGCAGTGTGTTTCTGAAATTTTACAAGCAACAATACCAAGAAAAATGCTTTATTGTACAAGTTTAAAGATCACCCCGAAAAGCAGCAAATTTTTGAGAACAAATTGTGTTAAAATTCAATATGAAAATCTATGTTGTAGCTTATTCTGAACTTCGTTGTAAATTAAAATATTTCATAGAAGTCAAATTACAAGATTACAATTCAATAAGAAAATAATCTATGTTGTAGCTTATTTCCCACTCCGTTGCAAATTAGAATAGTTTCTAAAAGTCAAATCCTCGATACTTTTATGAAAAAGCCGAACATGTTATGTGCTCCACAAGGATATTCAAAGCTATAACAGTTTCCATTTTTTCAAGAAAAATTTCTAACTAATGTAAAGAGTGGGTGAAATTTTAATACTACCTTAATAGTGAGGTAGGTTTTATAAAGACAGTGCCCATTTGAATTCACAAATTTTGGAAGAAGGCGGTCTCCTCACAAAAAGACATCTACCTGCAGCTAAGGTTGGTCTTAATACACTAATTGTAACATTATACATTTTATTTTGGACCGAGTTAAAAGCGCGCCAATATCTTAGATCTTAGATCTTTCTTAGAAAACGTTAATATGAGTCCACAGTTTGATATTGATTTAAGAATGCGCACGGAAATGTACGGGCAACTGTTTTAGTGCTCTCGATTTAAGATCACTTGACTTGATAGCTTAAAGGGCCGCCTGACTATCAACATAAATAGTCTCTGATCCTGTTATAGAGTCACTGTTTTGGATGCAATATTTTGGTAAACAATAAGTTATGCCGTTGCCTAAACATCAATAAAGAACATGTGATTCATAATTTAGTATGAATAATCGAATAAACTTGAATTAAAATAACATCTTTGGTTTTGTTCGAATTTTAGTATTATTAGTTTTAATTGTAGTATATAAATTTCTTACTAAACTATATTTGCAGGTAAATCCAAACGAGCAAGTGCTCTTGTTGCAGCAGTTGAAAAGGCTACTGAAAATTTTATCCAAAAAGGCGAACAAATTGCATATGAAAATCCAGATATTACGCAAGAAATGCTCTCGGCTGTTGATGAAGTTCGTAAATCTGGTGATGCAATGAGCATTGCAGCAAGAGAATTTTCCGAAGATCCCTGTAGTTCCCTTAAACGTGGCAACATGGTGAGAGCCGCTCGCAATCTTCTTTCTGCAGTAACACGATTGCTTATACTTGCCGACATGGTCGATGTACATCTTCTGTTAAAATCTCTGCACGTTGTTGAAGATGATTTGAATCGCTTAAAGAACGCATCCAGTCAAGATGAACTTATGAACAACATGAGGGTAATAAAGATCAGTTTTTACAAATTTACGTTTCCGTCATTTCCAAATATTTGAAAGCTTGTATGAAATGCATATCAAACAGTAAGGTACCGCTGTACCATACTGATGACTCAAAAAAAAAAAAAAAAAAAAAAATGAAAAAATGAAGATGTGGTTGAGCAACAACAAGTTTAATAATAGTTTATAATTCGTTACTTTTTGTAATTTGTTAGAACTAGATTTTTATCCACGAATGGGACATTATCGTTTCGTCTTTAGCCACATTAAATTTCCGGATAACTGAAGAATAACTGTCGGTTCTGTATTGCAATGATTATTTTAGAATGACAAGTGATGATATCCACAAGTTTTAGGTCACGTTGAGATGAGTGATTTTCTTCGGGACATTGCATCCCATTTTACCTAGCAAATTTTGTTCAAATATCCCGGAGTAATGCTCGTGTAACACTCGGAAATTGTGGCATCAAGGTGTCAAAATCGAGTTGTCGACCTGGAAAATTCGAAAAGATGCACTGCACCTGCTATCAAAAACGGTTCAACTCTTTGAACTATATCAATGCCTCGCTAGTAGAATGATTTCCCTAACGAGTGTTACCAAACTAGAGCTTCACTGCTGAGAAACGGTCGGACAATTGACTCATATATCCATGTAATTATATGCAGTTTAAGACCCCGAGTTCGTGCTTTCTTGATATTTCCGTCCAGTTTAAATTATGGTCGAGAACCGTACTAAGATATTTGACATCTGAGGAAAGGTCCATCTAGCATTGGTGGGAAAGATTTTGTTAGGAGCTGGGGGATACCAATTTTTAAGAGAAAGTTACGAATGGATTCATGTGTGACATTATTAATGTCGAGTGAAACTGTCTGTTGTGATTTTATTGTTTGAATAAAAGACAATGTTTGTTAATACTAAAAATACAATGATTTATTGGATGATGAGCGTTTACAGCTACTACTTTATATGAATAAACAAATTACAATGTAGTGAGTTAGACTCGATTGACTGACAGAACAAGATTGAATAGGCGGTTGCACCCATGGTAGAAAAATACAGGTAGTAGCATCGCTGGGACAATGAACTGTCAAACGGATTTTGGAATCGAAAATGTTGAATGAAAAATTATTAAAATTTGATTTGCGTCGTATAAAAAAACATTCAAAATTCCAAATATTTTCCCTAAAACATTTTAAAAAATTTGGCATATTAAAGTTCCCAAACGTTGCATTTACCTATATTCTTCTACCATTGTTGCACCGCATCCTATTATATGAGAGTTGCCATTTTAGATGTTGCAACATGAGATGCCATACTGTTTATGTGGGTTGCCCCAACACTGCCAAAATGAAAGGAGAACCATTCATATTTTTCTCGTTATGACTTATGACGTCTATGGAACAATACCAAGGTGTCGATAGCCCACTTAATGCCTGCTGCCTCATCAACTTTCCAGTCCGTACGTTGTTGTTGTTGTTGTAGCAGTAGTACATGTGTGTGTTTGTGTTCTGCTAATCTGGTTCCAGCTCCAGGTTTAGAAATTCGGCTACTTTAACGGGCTGTAGCCAGAGATCCTCTGGAGTGAGTTGGGTAGGTTTGGCTGAGCAATTAAAAAGGTGTAGCGTATTGTGCGGGCCTGTATCACACGCCGGGCAGGCGTCACGCACATCTTCATCAATTCGTGCCCAATACGAATTGAGGCGACTACACCATCCTGAACGTAATTGCGCCAAAACTACCCTGGTTTGTCTAGGCAGCTGACGTTCTTCGGCTGCAATGGATGGGGGGTGGACTCCGAGGACGGCATTCACTTTATAACTGCTAATAGCATCCGCGACTGCATCGGTGTGAATGCCACTCAGACCTGCCTGATAGGCTTCTTGATCTAGAGGCTCTCTCTTGTAGCGCTGGACCTCCCTCTCTAGATCATGTATGTCCTTCCTGACACACTGGGTGGGGGAGAGTTATCCACCATATGATGGTTGGGATGGCTCTCACGGTAACACCCAAGCAGGTACTGCAACGAAAGCATATGATTATGCTTCAAACCCTGCTTTGCTGACGGCCAATCCTGACTTAAGATCCACCACGTTCCGGTGCATGATGTGTTCGCCATACATAGGAAGTTTCTGTCGGCAGAAGTGGATAGAGGGGCATTTGAGTGCCAACAATATTGGAACTAGTAATTTTTTTAATACAATCTGAAAAATAAAGAAATTTGAACTACTCTGTAACTTTTAAGAACTGTAGGTGATATTTACACACAAATTACAAATATTTATTTTTCAAATATTATTGAAGCTCTTTAATTAAATTTTAGTTCTATATACAAGTTTTGGAACTAAATAAAATTGGTTTAGTTTAGGTCAATATATTATACACATTTTAAACTTTAATACACATTTTTATATTGTTGCTAATATTGAAATTCTGATTTGTATTTTTAAATAGGTTATATAAGGTGCCACAGTTACGAATATTGAGGCTTGTTTGAAGACTTAAAAGTACACCAACAATAACTGTTGTATTTCATTAAGCTTTCCTTTGTTTTCCTTCTAATTGTTATTCGTCTCCCAAATTAATGCTGGGAATTTGCCGAAAATGAGTTGAAAATATTAAATATTTTTTAACAAATTTTTGCATAAACTAATATTAATTTGAACATATAATTATTTTGCAGCAATTCGGTAGAAATGCAAACGAATTAATAAAACAGGCAGCTAAACGACAACAAGAACTGAAGGACCCACAGCTTCGCGATGATTTAGCTGCAGCGCGTGCAATGCTGAAGAAACATTCGACAATGTTGTTGACAGCTTCAAAGGTTTATGTTCGTCACCCAGAACTAGACTTGGCTAAAGTAAATAGAGACTTTATTTTAAAGCAAGTTTGTGATGCCGTTAACACTATTAGTGACGTTGCACAAGGGAAGTCTTGTCAACCTACTGATATTTATAGCGGTGCAGGAGAATTAGCTGCAGCTCTTGACGATTTTGACGTAGGTCTATACAAAAAAAAAAGAGAATAATTTATTAATAATGTGTTTATTATAGGAAGGTGTAATTATGGATCCGTTGACCTATAGCGAAAAGCGATCAAGACAATTACTTGAGGAACGATTGGAAAGTATAATTAGCGCTGCAGCCCTGATGGCTGATGCAGATTGTACACGTGATGAAAGACGAGAACGTATTGTTGCTGAATGCAATGCTGTAAGGCAAGCATTGCAGGATTTATTGACAGAATATATGTCAAACGTAAGTACATTTTCACGACCCAAATAAAGCGAATATTTAGCTATGAAGAGAGATAGATAATAGCAATTGAAATTACATATACAGATATTTAACAGGATTAGCCGTAACAACATTGATCACAATTGATTTATCTTATTCAATTATGAGTGTTAACCTGGATAGAGATTTCTATGTAAACGGACTTTAGGTTTACAAACCTTATACGTTTGCATATACCCATATCGCACTATCAGACGAAATGCGTTTTACACGTGTGACACGCTGTATTCGTAAAATGTAAAAAAAAAAATTATAAAGCTTATAGGTGGGCATAAATGCGGTTCTGCTGATGTTTGTATTGCACACATGTGCACCAAAAAATAGCCATACATAGTGTAGCGAAACCCTATAATGGCAATTGATTATATCATAATAAGCACTCATTTGCTTTGGTGATCGTCCGCCAGGGAAAAGTAAGTGTTTTTTGACATTTACCGCATGTCAGAATATTGAATTTTATTACGCGTTGCCATCGCAAGCTCTAAAACTATTTTTTCTGTCGTACATACTGTAACCGTTTATTCTACAACAGTTTCTATGGGCGTTTCTGGTGCCAGAGTATGTGCATATTGAATGCTCCAATAATCCAATCGTATTTATGTGGGCTTAAGCCGTTTTCGTCCTAAGAGGAGATTTGAATTGTGTCTAGTTTTTATTTAAGTGGTGGATTGATTTCTTTTCACTTCTTGCATCATATTGGTCGTCAAAGAATTATACTGAACAAAAGTTGTTGGTTCATTATGGGTCATTTTATTATTTATTCAACTCATACATAACAATATAAACTCTAAGCATAAAAATGTCAAATAATTTCGGGAAGTTAAGTTCAGTTCCTTATTTTTTTTCTTATATCCTTCGTTATTCCTTAAAAAAGTATCAACATTTTAAAATAAATGTTTTCATTTAAAAAACAATATAGTTGTTGTTGTGGGTACAAACATAAAATAATTTGTACAAATTATAACAAAATGTATTTCGATAATCCATCTTTCAAATCAGTTAAAACAAGGAGAGTTTGTAAATTTTTACTGTGAAAATTTTTTTTCAGCAGATTTAAAAAAGATAATAAAATTTTAGGCAGTTAACACCATAAATTAACAAATTTTTCACTACAAAAGTTGCAATTTGGATTTGATTTTCCCAACAATTTAAAAGTGTAACGTATAGATTCTGCAAATCAGCTCCATCTTACGGGATTCTACAGAATGTTCGATAACTTCTTGCAATATCTGTACGCATTTTGCAGTTGTCTCAGCAAGATCGTCCAGAAATGGGAGTTCTAGAATTTTCAATCTTCGATGTTTTGGTGTTTTGGTGTTGCGGCTGACGCCTTTGGAAGTTCGTTCGTAGATCCCGCTCTAGCTTTTTCGTTTGCCTTCGTTACCAAAAAACTCTGCAAAAGTATAGTACAAGGTTCCTTTTTAGTCAATATCAGCACGATGATCCATGTTATGTTTCCACGACAGCCTAGTCGGAGGTTAATCGATTTCTATAGACTTTCTTCAAAAAAAACTTTAAAGTTAGTTGGTTAAAAGTTAGAGTTCTTTATTGTTAAAATTGTACAATAAAGGTTTTTAAGAAACCTTCTTTTTATACCCTACAACACTATGTGTTGGGGGTATTATAAGTTTGATTGGGCCAGAATTTATGTAACACCTCGAAATATTGGTTTCCCATATAGGAAAGTATATATGGATCTTCCTAGCTCGCCGAGCTTAGTCGATCTAGCTATGTATGTCCGTCTGTCCATGTTAATTTGTAATCACGCTACAGGTCGCAATTATGGCCCGATCCTAACGAAATTTTGCACCAAGGTGGGGTTAAGGTCAGAATAGAAGCCTATTTCTTTTGGAGATGATCGCCAAATGTTTAGGGGTTAAAATGGACCAAATACTGAAAAAATGTCGGATTTTGCAGTAGCTATACAGGTCGACTATAGACTAATTATAGACTAATCGACGCGGAATTTCGCATGTAGCTGGAGTTTAGGGCAGGGAAGAAGCCTACCAATTTGGGTGGTCATCGGATAATATTTAGCGGGTAAAATAGACCATATCTTTTGTGTTGAAAAAATTCAAAAATTTTCATTAAACCGCGAATATTTTAAATCCCGGCGAAACCACAAAGCCATGACAAGGTTACTTCTGATCTTTACATTTATTTTAACATCCAACAAATCGGATATATAGCAAAATATGTGCGAAATATATGTCTATCAAAGAAGATATGTTTGAAAGATCTCATATATGTCGAGAACGGCTGAACTGATTTCGACAGTTCTCATTAATTCAGAATGGCCTCTTGATAGGAAAGAAAAAAATGAAAATATTGATTTTGTAATATTTTCTCATATTTTTTCAATTTTGTCATATTTTTGGCATATTTTCATTTTGAATCAAACATTTGGTAATGTTTCTACAACTAACAAAACTAAGTAGTTAGGATATTAGGATATCATATACAGGTCGCATTTATGGCCCGATCCTTACGAAATTTTGCATGGGGATAAGATGAGGGTCAGAATAGAAGCCTACTCTTTTTGAAGATGATCGCCATATATTTAGGGGTTGAAATGGACCAAAAACCTGCAAAATAGTCAGCAGGTCGTAATTATCGCCCGATCCTCACGCACATTTGAATGGGGGTTACCGGACATTGCAAAAACCAAGCAGTTTTGGATGGCCATCCAAAAAATCCAATGTGTGAAATAGTTTGCCAACTTATGTAGACAAAATACGATAATGTCCATTCCAGCGACGTTTTGGAGAATTCAGAAATACAGGAAAGACGCACTTCTGACTATTTCGTTGAAGAATATAGTCAAGTGTCTGTATCTCATATAGATGCGTTTCAGTCAAAAACAAATAATAAATTTTAATCTTTGGCCACTTCTGAGAGATTATAGGTCTTTGGGAAATATTGGTTCAAGATCTAGGAAGACCATTTACGTGCAACATCTACCAATAAATTGGAAATGAGCAAATTAGTTTAAGTTGTTATTTTTCGAAAATTAGAGAACGAAACCTAATGGTTTTCTTTTATTATTTGTCACAATATCTTGTGGAATTCTTTCGAGTATCTCGCATATATAATCTGTATCGTTTATTATAGTGTTGTAGGGTATTCAACGGTCGGCCACGCTCGACTGTAGCCTTTGCTTACTTGTTAGAATTAAGGATTGGAAATTATGTAATAATGTTTTCGAATATTAGTTTTTTTTATAATTACGGACAGTTTTAATTGAATCGGACTGACTATAAACCATGGATATATATAAAGTTGGATGGTACTTTTTCACATTTACAAACGCTATATCTTTTAAAGCCCACTTGAACTTTTCTTAGTTCCACTATTATGATTGCGATAACATTGGGTTGGCGATAATTTTTCAGATATGATGAATGTTATTCAATGGTGATTTGAGAAAGACTTCTTTCGGATATAATCCAGCTATATATTTAAGTTTGTTCTATGTCGGATACTAGTGTGAGGTCAATGACCCGTTTAATTTCGCCAAGCTTAGAAATAAAATAGTCGGGCTAGTATCTCTGTTCCATATTGTAAGGTTGTTAATATTAATAAAATCTAAAACCGTATACATTTTCCATTCATGCCATGTGGGCGTAATATTTTAACTTTGGGTTCCCTTATGCCAAAGATCAACTTGTTCCCCAATCTTTCGAGAAACAAAGGTAAAATAGACCATAACTTTTATGTAAAGAAATACGAAAACTTTCACTAAATCGCGAATAATTTTACTTCCAGCGAAATCAGCTGGACTGAAAAAATCTATAAAATCTAAGAAAATCTCAGAAATATGCCATTAAAGAAATTAATATATTTTGCGATATATATTTTTTAATTTTTGTATTTTTTTTTAATTTTGTCATATTGAATTGTACATTTTGTAGTAATTTTTTCATCTTACAACACTATGTCTTGGGGGTATTATTTTCAGGTCGCAATTAGTCCGCAAATTTCCCAGTCGAAAACCAAAGGCAACATTTGTGCAGGGCTGTGTGGCATTATTTGAAAAACGAAATCTTACAAAATTTAAAAGGGCTTCTAAGATATTATAGTGATGTATCACATGGTCGGCTCCACATGGCTTATTGTCTTTGCTTACTTGTGTCAAGTGATCGATTGAAATTATCCAGAGATTCGTAGACCCAAATGAAATCAACGACCGTTTAAATAATAAAATGAAACACATTAACGTTTATTAAGAAAAATTATTCAGAGAAACGAAAAACGGTCAAAACCAAGTGCCTTGTAGTACAAATTTATTGTTGGGAATTGATAGAAAACATATTAATTAGAAGAAAACTGAATTTTTGTTTCGATAATTTAAGTTTTTTTTACGATATGAGGATTTAAATCCGACTATTGTAGAAAATCGATATTTTTACCTTTTTTCTAAAATTAATATAGTATGCTATGATCAGCTATATAAAAATGTTAAGAATTGGTTGCTACAAATGTTATTAGGTATTTTCTTTAGATGCCATAAGATTGGCTCCACATTTATTTGCGTGACAGGTGGGTATGTCATATGTTATGTCTACAATTACAAAATTTGTTGAGAACATAATGGAAAGGCATGGACCTATATACACAATGTTCTGTCACCACACGTGGATCCCATTACAGAAAATAAATATAGAATTTTAAACAAATCCTTTAGAAAAACTGTTTAAAATCATAAGAATACCGTATATCGGGAGGTACCGTTATATGGAGGCTATAAGAAAGCGTGGACCCATGTAGTCAATTGGTTGGTACAGTGGTTGATTTCTATTGCGAACGTGACATGGGGGCCGTAGGAAAACGTGAATCTATATAGACAATGTTCTGTGACAGGGTCTATTACCATTTCTAAGTACCAAATATGAAACATCTCTAAAAATAGGCTTAAATCGTCAAAATCCCGAATATCGGAAATGAAATGAAATGCACTCCTA